CGATATCTGCACTTTCTAGTCGCTGACGCTACCAGACAGTCGGAACGCTAGTGTCGCTGGTAGACGCTGATAGACGCTGCAATTGCTGTAGTGGGGAAAAAAGTGAGACAAGTAGTGGAGGGCAAATGAAGGCTGTCCTAGGCTTATAGGGCAAACGGGGTCATCGTGAGTTGCAACTCTACTCTTGCACAGCAATCTCTACGCGACTATGACCGTGTGTGCTCCAACACTGACCCTTGGCTGGGGAATCAGACGCAGGGCGCCGCGGCGTAGGTTTCCTTCTCTCAGCACGCCCCCCCACCGACCACCACCCAATTGCCGCTTGCTCCTAGACCCGGTGTTATGTTAACCAAAGTTAGTTTTTGTCCAGGCCTAGGGAAAAAAAGAGGGGAGCTTCCGCGATAGTGTGAAACCACCTTTCTAGCGCCAAAAGAGTTTTTGCGCTACAGTAATCTCGGTTTGCACGAAGAGTCCTTGAATACCCCCTCCTTCTACCTTCTAACAGCCTCGATGAGACGTTCAGTGGGACTGTATGGAAGTGAATATTAACAAGGCGAAGTAATCAACTAGAGAAAGACACCCAGTTGTAATAAATTACCTTCATGAATCCTGCACAGCTTCACCCTTCATCTATGCAGGCTTAAGCAGAGAGCACCTGCCATCAGGTCGCTTTTCGCTTTGTCACAGGTGTTCAATGCAGTATCAGTACCCTCACAGCAACGCCAACCAAGCAAGGGCATCAGCGCATGGGCACCGTAGACAAAGATGCCGTCGAATAAGGTGTTAGGATGCATTGTGCACACACAACACCCGTCTTTTACGCCCAAATCAACAAATTGCCACGACTTCCGTTTGTGATGTATTTTGGCCATTTTCTTAGTTTCTTTCGTTCTTGCCGTCTTCGTTGAAGAACGAACGGACCGATATTTTTTCTTAATTTTGTTCTTCTCTCTCATACAGATGAATTTGTTGTGAATACCGATCCCGACCATCTTCGTACCATACCAATCAGTTGGATACCCTGAGGTCCCGAAAATCCTCTCTGAAACTACCTTCTTGGTTTGGCCACTTGCAGTAATTTTGTCCTCCACTCAGTGATGTTTACTTTAAGTGGTTGACCTCGGCGGCACCTTTTACGACTTCGGCCGGGTTTTGATTTTTAAGGTCACACGGTTGAAGGTATTTTGTCTGAAACTGTCTGTCGGCTGTTTGCAGTTTTCTTCCTTCTTTTGCAAGATTTCCGCTGTTTACTGCCTTTTTCAGCTTTTATTTCACAGTATCCATGAACATGACGTCTTTCTAATTACATATCTGCCAAACACGCACAATTGGAGGGGGATGAGAGCCAACCCGACCAACAACTCGGTATCGATTCTTCTCTCTTATCGGATTGTTTACAACGTTGTCATTTGCCGCTTTTAAACCACATTTTCGGCCACCGTGGGTGTTTTTCCCGAGAGAACGAATCGTTACGACAGCATTATTCATCATATTGTCAGCTCTATCGCGCTGATATAACGGAAATATTTGGAGTTTTATTTAATTTTTTGCTCTCATCAATTAGTCACATGTGTTTCATGCGCTAGCACATGTCCTGCGGATCTAAAAAAGTTTGCACGCAGTAAAGCTCAGAAAGCTGCAGACCAAAAAATGTATGAAAGTTTAACAATGTTTGATTTAAAACGGGTGTCCACAGGATTTTATTCGCAGTCCGTCGGGGGTGAGCTTGGAGGCTTTTGTAAACCCTCGCAAGTTCCTTTGAAGCTACGGTTTCTAGTATCATCTCAAACCAAACCACTTTTTGCTCTAACTGGTCCACCTAACCCGGAGCTCCTTCCCCTGGCTTACAGAGATTCGGCAACTGCATTTTCTCTCTTCTGCGAAGGTCCAGAGGTATTTTCTTATTGCATATCTGGTAGGTAGAGCTTTGAAGAACAAAAATAAGGAAGAGGGTAGAGGGAAGGAGGGAGAAAAAGGAAGGAGCAGGAAGAAAAGGAAGAGGGATTCGCTCGCGGTTGGCAGATATGTTGAGATCCCAGTCATTCTTCGCTCTTTCTGGCGAAGGAGAAATTGCTTGAAAAGAAGCTTCCACATATTCATGAGCTTCATCAGAGTTTACAGTTCTCCACAAAATGTGCCACGCACTGAAAGGACGAAGGGTTGCCCCCCCCCCTACATCACTAAGTCGAAGTGATCCGATTTTCCTACTCCAGTCTCGCCATAATCTTTTAATATTGTGTCTGGTCGAAAATATTAGCATAATCTATTACTGTTCGGCTCGGTGACTGACCACTGAAATTAGTTTTACGATAGTAAAAAAGATCTTTGATGTTTAACACTTGTAGAACTAGTGATATTGCTTAGATTCCTTCGTTCTTGAGTGATATCGCTTAGATTCCTTCGTTCTTTTATCTTGAAAGTTTCTTAAATAGAATCTTTGCTCTCATTTTGCCTCCTTAGATAATTAATCTAATTCTATATTGCAGCACAGTATTATGTGTTCCTCTCAAAATTAGAAGAAAATTGTTAATACTAAATTTTATTGCTGATCTATAGCCATGAGAATGCGTTCATACATTTTGCGTCCGCGTTTTGAGCGACTAAGAAAGTGTAGGTATCGATCCAGCTAAGACGGTGCCGGTTGCTCAAAGCGGTGAATCGATACCTATACTTTGCTAGTCGCTACAAACGCCAAATTACTCTCAAAAAGCTGCTGACGCAAAGTATGAACGCATCTCACTGCTATTGTATAACCACAATGCTCACAGCTTGTATTTTTCCGGACCTATCCAACTCAGCTCTTCCGATCGTCTATCATCATTCTTCTATTTTCCGAATGCCGCTACTTTAGACGACTTCTTAGTCACCGTGAGAGTTTTTCGTCGCCAAATGTCTTTGTTATGGCTGCAGTGTCGACGTAAAAGTAGCAATTAATTCATCGATTTCTATAGTTTTTGGGCGAATATCTTATTCACCACTCTCAATGGCTCAGACGGTTTTCAAACATGCTTCTGCAATGCGGAGGTGCTTGGAATTCGAAGGATGTCAACTTTTTGTGTGAGCAGCTGGTGATCTCATTGAAACCCGGCCCACTGATAACCTGAGCGAGTGACCTAGAAAGTGGATTAATTCACAAGCTTTTTTGCTTCTCTTAACGCCTTGAACGCCCCGTGCATTGGTCGTAATGCACATGTTCAAGTCCCAGTTGCGCATTTTGCAGAATTGATTCCAGTGCACCTATTTCACTATAGTTTGGTTTTTTATGGATAATTGTTATGCGTTACGAACCCTGGAAATGAGGTGGGCGTGGCTGCGCACATCGTTCAAGCGCAGCGGCGGTTGCGTTTCTAGTGGGATTTTTCATTTTGAGACAATTTTGATCACGTCTTCGTCCAGCACAGGGGCGAAGTGTGGTTGTCTCGAATGAGTATGTTCCCACGCAATGAATTGAAGAAAGAACAGAATTCCACGTCATATTCTGGAATACGCAGCCAGCCCGCATCTCCCCATGTCCGCGCCATAGAGTGTATGTATTTATTTGAGCTAAAAATGTATTTTCATTGATATCACATATTAGTATCACTCCACCACCTGCGTTCCTTTTGGGTAATTCCCTCGTGCAGTGCTTTGTGAATTATTGTTCAGGTAAAGTGCAAAATCTAGCATTTCGATATGCTCGTATGCTAGTTTTTTTTATTTAGCGCCTCACCTGAAAAGGCCATTAATAAGCGGTGGCTAAAACGTAGTTGGGAAAGGCTGCAGAGGGACGCACTGGCCAGTACATCATACCATACACTCTTCATCCCTCAATCTAGGCTTATACCAGCCGAGAGTAAGTCTCCAAACTTACAATGGGACTTTTGAATGGAGATCTGTAAACAGATAGAGTCCTATATTTTACGAATATAGGTATCAAAAACTGCAACGTGCATTTCAGCAGCAACTTTATGGGCAGGTGAAGTTTGTATGTGCAGCAGATGGAGGCGATTAGCTGTCGAATTGAGTCGTGAACGTCGAATCTTTAGCCACTGAACGGCAATTTGACGTAATGCGATTCCTCCGCTTACGCTTCAACAGATTGCCACTAAGCCTCCACCCTAATAACCGCACCATTACAAACTTTACCTGCTCATGAGTTACTTGTAAAATGCAGGTTTGCTATTTTGCTATATTTGTAAATAACCTTATAGACTCTATCGATCTACCCAGGTCTCCATTCAAAGTTCCATGGTAAGCTGGCGGACTTCCCTGGTTATATTAAATGCTATCTTTTCGCAAGGCTGTGGTCGTCTGCGCTCTAAACCGAGCCCTTTTCTAGGAAACGATACCGAGGCGCGGCACAGTGATCCCCCTTCCCCCTCCCCAACTACGTGGGCGCCCTCAAAACATTCCGATCTTCAGGACTTTCATCACTTAGGTTCTCACCACATCGGGAAACAGTAATCCTCTGTTACTTTGAGTGAAGGTGGTTCCTTTGTGAGAAACTTTAGGCACTATTCGGCATGGGGGCGGGGGAACATTTTGCACTTCCGCACGCTCCCTTCTTTAGCTCCTGTTAAATTACACATATCATCTAAGTAAGACCTGTAGACTCTTTCCTGTGTAAACGAAACTCTTGCTACTGCATAGCCTTCCGGAAGTTGCAGGTTTCTACAGGAGGCATCGGTCATGATCAGTAGGAACCAACAAAATGTCCCCCTCCAAGTCGAATGCGCCAGTACTTACAGAACTACATCTGAATGCCGGTGTTTCCAATCGTTTTCTGCTCTTAATTTGTTCTTTCTTCTCGTTTCTTACTTATCGCAGCCAGGCCTTGTCGAAGCAGTTATTTTTATTGGCGTGAATCGTGGGAGCGCGCCAGCTAGCGAGTGCAAGATGTTTTGAGCAATAGCGCGAATATAATGCCGTCTCGTTGTAAATTGAATGTTTTCGACTTTGAAATCTACTGTACTATCTATTGATTGGAACGTTTAGATTAGTCTCGAAGGGACTTGGTCACTATGGTGTTCGAGTCCCTGGTGGCAGATCTCCTTAATCGATTCCTTGGCGATTTCGTCGACAACCTCGACGCCTCACAACTCAACATTGGCATTTGGGGAGGTAAGCTAAGACAGCATCTTCCTTGTTTTTCTTTCAAATTTCTTTGTTGCAAACTTCTTTGAGGAGCATTTGGTTGTATGAGCGAGGGAGGCCACCATTGCACCTCAGTCATTGGCGTGCTCCCCTTCTTCACCGTCCTTGCGGAGAAGGGCTCATCAATGGTCAAGGCGCAGTGGTAATTCTTGCTCCGCCCATCAACCAGAAGTGGAATGTGCCTTTTGTGTGCCCTACAATCATTCATAAGCTTACTGTACAGCTCTTCCTCGTTTAATTTCCACAATTGTCGTTCCTTAGGCATGAGCAGTAGAAGTTCTTCAGGCAGGCTTTAAGGAAAAAAAGCTTGTTCCCTTTATAGAAGGCATTTACAGGGGACTATCACTGCAGTTTTCATGAGATTACAGTTGCTTTGAAACGCGTAGTAGAAGAATGAAGTTTATGAGTCGCGTATTCCGGTGACTTTTACCATCTACTTCCGAAGTTTTTGATAACTATTCACCCTAAATACCACTGGTAGGTGGAAAAGACAGTCGATTTAATCTTATCCGCCACGCCTTCTTTTTTGTCCAAGCATGTTTTAACGCTAACGTGATTTAGGGAGAAGAGGTTCGGCAGAGGGAAAGCGGCCCTCAGCCGCGTCTCTGCATCTCTTTCCCAGACCACAGCTTGATTCATCTGAGACTAAGGAACGAAACGGACCGTCTGTGTTTTGCAGCATTCCCTACTACTATCCACCTTTTCTTGTGTTAGATTTTAGAAGTTTTGCTTTTTCAGTCTCGCACTACGGCATTGCCCCTCACAGTTTTCTCTTTTCTTTCTGGAGAAGTGACACATGATATGGAGCTGATAGCGAAATACTAGTGGCGAGTGTTCAACATCGAAAACAAGAGTAGTGAAATGGCAGTTCTGACTGGAATCGCGTAAAAGTATCTCGTAAAAGTGCGTAAATTCAATTCATTGCCGCCAAGGCCATGTTCAGTAGTCTTTTAAGAAAATACCAGCGAATGAAACTTCAGTCCTAATACAAGGGGCAAATTGAACCACGGAAAAAAAGCGGTAAAACATTGCTTTTTGTCTACTTGTCTTCCCATTTTTCGGCTCAGGCATATCTCTTCGGAATGAACAATTCAGAGCTACTAAATGGTTTTCAGTAAATCACCTATAGGTAAAATGGGTTATTGCTAAAAATTTTATTAAAAATGAAAGCAAATAAGTAACGTCGTCCTGATACTTCAGTTGGAGGCTAATAAACTTGAGGGGGAGGGCCATTTACAGCAATTCTTGTACAGAACTGAGACTGTCGTTATCGGAAATGGTTTGCCATAGCTTGAACTGATTTATCCATCGCGGAGCTTCTCTTCTTTCAAGTCCCGACGAAAGTCCTCATTTCTATATGGTAATACCATCACCTGTATCACCTATGCTCCCGTTGATCATCGAGTTGCTCGAGCGGGCGCCAGTAACGGTCTCCCATGTTCGTCCTGCAACTGCGAGAGGTTGCCCAATGAACTCGTCTCTACTACGGACAGCGATCATTTCATACCCATCCGTTCAGAAGCTATTTAGCGAAAATAAGTCTGACCGCATAGGCGGTCGTCCCAGGAGTTCGCTTGACATTCGTGGATATCTAATCGGTATTCGCTCTGGTCCCAGCGCGTCGTCTCGAAACGCATGACGTGCCCGCCCACCTGATCTTCGAAACCTTGGCAAAAGCGGCGATCTCTGATCTTCGATCGTCGGCGGAGTGCGGAGCTCCGGCTTCCTTCTCTCACTTGCGTGTAGCGAGAAACTCCGAGCCTTCGATGGGCGTTGAATATACGCCGACCGCATGCTCCAATCCGCCTTTCGTAGAGTCCGTACTCTGAGGGTATGTGGTAATACGATAGGTAAATGAAAGATGATAAAAGAAAGAGTTGCATAGGCCTTCAGATGCTTCCCCTTGGTTATTAGCCCCCTTCATTGGCGACATCATCGATGCGACTGGTGCTATCCTTGTAATGGTTACTTGTGAGCATAGGTCGAGAGATCCGCTTAACGGCGATGCGGCGGGGACGTGTCGCAAGTAGGGTCGCTTGCGCGGCATTTGCATTAGTTTCTGATAGATTTGACATTCCTTCGAGCTAGTTAGCTATGTAATACAGGTTAGTTGTGTGCCTCGTGGATTTTACGACCGATACCCTCTGAGGCAGCGTTCAGACTTCGCGTCGACGCATGTCATCGCGAAGTCGGAACGGGACCTAATTGTGAATGTTCCGAACACTTATCACACTTTAATCTTTCAGGTGATGTGAAATTGGAAAATCTAGAAGTCAAAGAAACAGCGTTAGATGATCTCGATTTGCCGATCAAATTAAAATTTGGTTACTTGTCTACGCTAATACTCAAGATACCCTGGAAGAATCTATACAATGAGCCGGTGATTGCTAACATCGATGGTCTGCATTTGATTGTTGTTCCCAACAAAGGCGTTGTCTACAACGATGAGAAGGTTAGTGTTTTTTTTCGTCTGGTTTGTGTTATTTTTTGTCTGGATTTCAATCTGAGTCCTACCCTTGATATGCTTCTATGAAACTGAGGGGCGGAGAGGGGTGCGGTAGAGGTGCTGTAAGTTCTTCGCATCTATTTCTTCCTTAACTTTAGTACTGTTTGGATTCCCACTTGTAAAACATATGGGACTTTGGGGTATGATCGCGATATTACCCTTGCGATTGTAGAAGTTTGGAGCTTTGCTCAGTTTTGATCCCCTCTCTTCGTTTTTGTGAACCCGCTCTTTGCTAAATTATATGCAGCGCGCGTCCCTGCTTGTTTATGGAGACAGGCGCTTAACGTGACTGCCGTTTTTCTTCTTCGTTGGCAAGCTTGGATGCTTGATGGGCGCTGCTTCAGAGACGTGGGGCGGAAAGGGTTCAACACCATAACAACTTGGGGAAAAAATCCTCATCCCACTGGCTTACAATAGTTCTCCCCATTCCCCATAAAGAGAAAGTTTTTCGCGTTTCGACTTGCACCGAAAGGCTCTTCCTTTTTGGAGATACACCCTTTTTGCATTTTTTTTGCCAGCTGGCTTACATTCGGGAACCCGCGTGATACACTCATCCCTGAGACGGAGTAGGCGTGGCATGTGGACATAGCGCAGGACGCAGGACGGGTTACTCGTAGGATATTTTAGGGGTTAGTCGTAGGATATTTTAGTTCGAGGCAGCTGTCGTCTTGGTCTGTTTGACAATGACATGACCACACTTGTCTCGAAATCAAAATGTTTCTCTAAAACAGCCACCACCATGTTTAGTTGAATACGCAGCCACGCCTACCTCATCTCATGTAAATCCTAGGGGTCTGCAACTCATAGAGAGATCATTAATTCTGGTGTCCATTCGGGCTAGCAATCATTTTAGTGACACTTTGTACAAAAGTGGGAGTTGTCTAGATGAAAACACAGCCCTTTAGATTGGCCCACCAACCCCGAAGAGAAGTTCTTACCCCTTCATGCTTGAGCGAAAGTCCTCCACTTCGAAGTGGAAATTCCAGTTGTGCCCAAGGATTCCTTGAAATGCCTCACCCGGGTTATTAGCGCCACCATCTGTATGGTTTGGCTTAAGATCACCAGTTCATAAGTATGGGCTTTAAGCTGGAATGTTTGGTTCTGTATTGAGGATGAATGGCAGTGGCCTTTGAATTGTAATGCTTACGCTGTATTTTTCCTTTCCTATTGTGGAATAGAGCTGAATACTCAGAGAAAGGGTCATGTGTAAGCTTCCTTTCATGCTTCGCCAGACAAGAGCGCGTTTAGTAACCACGATATTGAGGAACGGAAAGTGACTGACGACGGTGACCAACTCAACGCACCCAGAGATCTAGCAAGGTCGGAGCGGTTTAGGTCGAATTCCTACTAAACTCTATCATTCGTGATTATGACCTTTCCTTAAAGGCAGCGGCACGGATATCCCTAAGAAAATAGTAAGCGAAGTGATACCGTCGGCAGCGACGGAATTCGCCTAACCTGCTGCAGGATACTGCAGGGCGCTTTCCCTAAGGGAGTACCCTTGAAAGGGCTCTATCACAGCTAAACAACATACCGACCCAAAACGCCCACACCGCCCGCCCGCCCCACAACATGGACGTACTCATACACTGCATGCATTGCATTGCTAGAATTTAGTTCTCGAAGCGAAGCATTGGTACCTGAACGCAGGCTGCAGGCACGAACTGCTGCAATGGATATGTGAAGCTACAATATAAATGCAGGGTACACGATAGCGGTTAAATTCTGAGGAATTTGATCCACGAAATTTTCAATCTAGCCATTAATAGAGAACGAAGGCTTTCTTCGCATGTTTTTGACGTTTCACTTTTCGTTTTTTCGCCATCTACTATTAATGGCGCCCTGACTTAGCCATTACGAGGCAGTTCAACCAGAATAAATTGCCCGCAACTGCAGTCTTAAAGAAAGAATCTAGGGCTAAGTCAATCCCCAGGACCCTTTGTTCGAACCACAAAACGTCGGTTTGTATTGTAATCGAGTACCACCGGGACACTAATGGAATTCCCTGTTGTGAAGGTGCAATAAGGAGCAAAGCCAAAAACAAACCAGTGCTGGAAATGCCAATGCTCAATGAATTTGTCCTTCTACAAATTCTGCGGGAAGACACTTTACTAAGACATCAAATATCTACTTTCTGTCTCACTCTATATAACAAAATTCAGAACGAGCGTACTTATTGAGGGATAAATTGTTGTTATGGCTTTATGGGCCAATAAGAAGGACTCGCAATGAAACCCACACAAAATTTACCACACACGTGTTTGTGAAAAAAAATTTTGATGCTTTTGACGTGGATAAATGTCCCTCTTGAGTCCCAATTCTCGCGCATCTCAACTATTCATTTATAAGGCTGATGATTTCATTCAGGCGAAGAAAAATGCCGCTGAAGTCAAGCAAAAGACGCTTGCTCGCCTTGAGGAAGCACGCAAAAATCGCCGAAAGCCACCAGATCCAGCACAGGACACTTTCGTAGAGAAAATGATAACGCAAGTTATCAAGAATCTGCAAGGTGTGATCTTTCAACATTACTCTTTTATGTGCTATTTTTGAGACCGTAGGCACGATTTCTTCTTTTTTAGATTACTGTGTCTAATATTCATGTTCGCTTTGAGGATAAGTTTACAAATAGACATCGTCCTTTCGTGGCTGGAGTCACACTTGAAAGGCTCGATTTCCAAGTGAGCTGAGCTGAATTTTTTTCTACTTTGCGTGGATTCCTTCTCGCAATTGTGTTTCCAGACAACTACCGAGAATTGGATTCCTACGATTCATAGAGACGTTGTTAAAATCTTCCATAAACTTGTTTTACTTGACAACCTTGCCGTCTACTGGAACTCGGGTTCGGAATTGTTCTCAGATCTGACTGATAAGAAGGAGATCCGACGGAAGCTCCAGGCTACGATTCACAACGGGAAGAATCAGCCTGATGGTTATAAATACAGTGAGTGGTATTAAGAATTTTATTTTTCGAATTGTACGGCTCACGTATCCCTTATTATGTCTAAAGTCAAATGTTGTCCATCCACAGCGCTCCGCTGAGGAGTCGCGGAAAACGGTCAAAACACTTGCTTACTGCGGACGCTAGGGCGTGTCAAGGGACTGGGTTTGGCGCCGCGCCAGCCAGTTTTCCATCAACTATGGTCGCCTGACAATTTCCACAGTTTTTGGATAACGGGCTGGCAGCGAGCCAAACCCAGCCCGCTGATACGTCCTGCATCCAAGGCGAACAGCCGCTTTGCGAGCGCACGCATCCCATGCTGATGGCCCTAAGCGTGGTCTTCCTTGTGATAGAAACTGCGTAAATAGTATTGGATGGATGATAAAGCGCGAGTGTATTCTCTCCAAAGATCCTATCCAATTTAGTCCTGAAACCTATCAAAATGCAGGCGAAGTTGAAATTAAATCAAAAGCCAGAATCCGATGGAACGAATTGGAAAACTCCAAAGGTCGGTGAAGTTTATGTTTTACTTCCATGATTTCATTCTTAATGATTTTGTTTATTTTTGTGGTTTTAGATAGATCTCTCTGTTGATATGGAAGCGTTAGCATTGGCGATTGGTAAATACCAATATCAGGATATTTTACTGTTCCTTGAGGCGCAGGAAAGGTATGGCTTCATGATCTATGGTACATTTGGTTATATGTAGCATTTCCAAATTTTGGGACCCTCAAGAAGGGTAAAATTTCACCTGCTGGAGTTTTTACCATTTTCTAGGTTCAATCTCGCAACGCAGTATTTGAAGTACCGCCCACATCTTAATGAGTATCGTGGACATTACAAAGAATGGTATGTAGTATTGTTCAGTAGCAAAATGAATTGCTGTTCTGTAGTCGTGTAGGGGATAGGGCCAAATAATCCACTTTCCAGGTGGCATTTTGCCTACAAAGCTATATTGGAAGAGAAAGTTCGTCGTCGAAGGAACAATTGGTCGTGGCCGAGAATGCGCGCTCATAGAAAGCTTGTCCGTGAATATCGAGATGCGTGGGTGAAACAACAAACAACCAGAAATCCTGGGTCCGATGTCACGGATATTATCAAGGTGAGCACTGTTCAACTTAAAGACAGTTGGCACGATAAATCCTCCAAGACGACTAGGATCAGTACGCCTGGCAGGACGGAATTCCGCGACCCTGAGCAGGCGCTCCGTCGCTGCTTCCCCAATTAAGGTGTCCTTGTAAGGCCCCTATCAAGCCACAACGTACCACGCAAACGCCCGCCACGCTCACCCG